CTGTGAACCATTCTAGCAAATACCTGTATCCAAAGAGGGAGTTGTGAACATCTCCAATTTATAGCGCAAGTGACAATCTGGATTTGAAACTGGCATCTTAAATAGGGGCAGTCCTGTGGGACTGAGCCCTTCGCCATGAAGGCTGTGCTAACTCCATGTAGGCAAGATCAGAACTGAACTGGACTGCAGTACACCAGTTGGTAATGGAGAACCTGCAGTACACCAGTTGGTAATGGAAGCCCTCCCACACATCCGGTGGCAAAAGTGAAGTTTCAGAAGTACTGAGCGTTGTGAGTGGGAACTGAGAAGCAAATAGTTTATTTTTCCCTGTACCCTGGGTCTTTTGCCTTTCCACATAAACCTTAAAATCACTTTGTTGATATCCACAAAATAACCTGCTGGGATCTTGAATCTATATACCACGATGGGAAAAAGTGACATGTTAATATTTAGTCTCTTTATCTGTGGACATGGAATCTCCCTCTATTTACATCTTTGATTTAGTTTCAGTTTTCTTTATGAAAACCTTATATATACTTTCTCAGATTTATTTTTAAGCACCTCTTTTTTGGTGTCAATATACATGATATTGTATTAATTTGAAATTTCAATTGCTCCTTGCTGGAATATATGAAAGCAAGTGACTTTTGTGTAGTTTAACTTCATATAACCTTATATGCTGACACCTTGCTAGAGTCATTTATTAGTTCCAGGAATTTTGGGCCAATTCTTGAGATAACCACACAGATAATAATGTCATCTACAAAGACAGTTTCATTTCTTCCTTCCCAATTGGTATACTTTTGATTTCCCTTTCTTGTGTTATTGTTTTAACTAGGACTTCCAGTATGATGCTGAATAGGAATGGAAAGAGAAGACACTCTTGCTTTGTTTCTGCTTTAGGGGAAAAGACTGAAACAAGGCAATGGTCCCTCATCATTAAGGATGATGGTAGCCCGAGGAATTTCTGTTGTTGTTTTGTTTTTTGGTAGATGTTCTTTATCAAAGTTTCCCTCTATTCCTGGCTTGCTTTCAGTTTCCATCATGCATGGGGGCTGGATTTTATCAAATGCCTTTTCTATATCTACTGAAAGAATCACGATTTTTTTCTTTACCCTTTTGATGTGACTGATTACATTAAAAGGCTTTTTAAATGTAGATCTTTTATATCTGGGACAAATCCCACTTGGTTTTGGTATATAATTATTTTTAAACATTGATGAATTTGATTTGCTAATATATAGCACAGGATTTTTACATCTATGTTCATAAGAGATATCATTTATTTAAAGTTGTCTTTTAAAAACATAAATAGGCTGAAGAATTTCAGAATTATCATTTAGCTACATGTTGGTAGGAATTAATTTAATCAGATTACTTTTCTCCTAAACCTAAAATTATACCAATTATAACGGGGCAAAGATGTTACTGATCAAGGGAGAACATGTAAACATTAAGAACTGAGGCAGGATTTTGCCAGTTGCATCATCTCAAAAGTATGAAAACTGCAGTTTATACTACTTCCATTAGTTATTAAATTATAATTCAGAGGAGGGAGAAGGAAGGAAGCAGTCCAAGAAGAGGAAGGACAAGATATCAGAGTGCTTTAACAGGTTTTGTGAGATATGATAGCCTTGTCTGCATTTTAACTTAAAAGTGATCGCCTAAGCCCAAGGTTCCACAACTTACATACTGTCGGATAAGTCAGGGATGTAAGTAAGGCTCTGTGGTACTAAAGCTTTTCTCTACCTATGCTTGCTCCACCCACAAAAACCATTTCTTCATGTACCTTTACTACTATCCTTTCTATTACATCAATTAAAGTTTGTAAAAAAGAATATCTTATTTATCAGCTTTTTTAGTCAGCAGTTTCCAAGTTTCCCACTGCTTGTTTTTGGCAGCTTGTTTAATTGGCTCAATACTGAACTTCTGCTGGAATAAATCTGACCTAGCTATGGGACGGGGTTCAGGAAAGCCAAGGAGTGGTAGCCAGCATCCACTGCCTAAAAGCGGGCAGGGGCTTTACCTGTGGGCAAAGAGTGTTTGGAAGAAGAACTGAAAAGTAGCGAAAAGCTTCATGCACTTTAGGGACAGCTTTGCTGCCAGAACCTGTGATGTTTGCTGTTGGCTTTAGGCAGCTCAGTACATGCAGAAGGTATTGAGAATGGTACTCTTGAGTGTTCCCCAAATTAACAACACTTTATAAACAGAACATGGTGTGTCAAGTGGATATTTACAAATGGTATTCTGAGCTTAATGTGTGTGTTTGTGTGTGTGTGTGTGTGTGTGTGTAAGAGAGAGTGTGTGTGAGAGAGAGAGAGAAAGGGAGAGAGAAAGATCTGAATCACAGTGTGGGTGAGACCATAAGAACTCTTCAGAGACAGTGAGTAGAAGCAAAGGAAGGCAAGCTGTATAGTCTCAAATGTGCTAGATTGTAAGAAATGAAACTTCAAAGTTCACAAAAAGCCTAAGAGGCAAAGTTAGTATATTCTGATAGTCTCTGGAAGGAACTCTAGTACAGTTAGAAACAAAGGATCTGAGTGAGTCTCCCCCTTCCCTCCATTTAACTCTAAACAGCTCCTAAAGGTTATTCCTGCTTCCATTTTCCTAAGAGAGGCAAAAAGGGTAACAAAATCCTAGAATCGCTGATGCCCTATGCGAGAACACAGGTGTCAGTGCTCTGGCACCAAGAGAAATTCAGGGGGAGGCAGCAAAAACAAAGGAGTGTCTGGCCTTTCAATTCTGAAGGCCTGAGTTATCGGCCCTCTTTTTCCCCTCTTGTTCCTGCTGCTGCTACTACCACTGATGGACATGCAGTGCTCTTCTGTCACCCCAGCACCTTTTTTGGCATGGACTGGCCCTGAGCATAACTTCCTGTGATCTTTAACAAATGTAATTACTTACTACTTACTACTAGGTGTATGCTTGGCATTTCTTTCCTTGTTGTACCCAAGAACCTGAACTATTCTTGGCCCATTCAACTATAACTCCATTCGAAAATGAAATAGTTGCCAACAGTTGAGGAAATCAGTGGTCTCCCAGGCAGCTCAGGTTTTAAAGGGCCACTGAACAAAAAGGAAAAGGAGCAGATTAGTAGTGGGACACAGCACTGCCCATGGGCTTCTTCATGCTCCCACTGCTCTCTGCCTACTCAGCCCCTCCCAGGCAGCTCATCCTCTTCTACAAAGCCTTCTCTTCTCCAGGCTCACACTGGCCTCGCCTCTTCCTAACTTGGGAATATTTAACAAATACTGGTGGACTTCTGTCCCTCACCTCCCCAATGCAACTTTAATCACTTAACAGTTTAGCCTGAGAGTCACTCGGGCAGTGCATTTGTTTACATAGTATGATCCTGAGTGTTGCTTGGGCAGGTGTCAATTCAACCAGTTGATTCTTGTTTGCACAAGATACAACTGTACATCTATGTGTTTTACATAGACTACTTTTGCATAATTTTCTATTTAGAATGTTGTATTTGCTTTTGAAGTGTATTTCTAGTGAAACCTAGTAGTAAGTTCTGGTTTTCTTACTAATTCATGTTTATTTTTTATTTGTGAAAAATAACCCAGAATTTTGTGCTACAATCTATAAAAAAAATCTTCTCATAATTACACTAGATATAGTTTTTACATTTTTCCAGAACTCAGTGCTATTCACAATACAAAATGGGCGTGTTTGGGATACTGAGAATGAATAGGAAGAAAGTGCCAAAAGGTCTGCAAAAGAAAAAACTGACAAGGGGAGATATACCAGCATATCAGACAGGAAAAATATTATTCATATTAGTGTTATGGGGGCTGGGGATTTAGCTCAGCAGCACAGCGCCTGCCTGGCAAACAGGTTATGAGTTCAATTTCTGGTACCGGAAAAAAAAAATCATATTATTGTTATGAAATGGAAAGACAAAGAAGATGTCTCCTTATTGTCAATGCTTCATAATATATAAATAATAGCACTTGAAAGAAGAAACAAATTTTAAAAGACTCCAGTAGTGGTCAATGACTATGATAATTCTGTGGGTAGGGCTGACAGAGTTGACCATCGAACAAGCTATCCTGTAATCAAAAAGGAAAAAAAATTTATTTTAAAATATGTATGCACCGTCTAGATCAAACAGTATGGAACTTGTTTGTTATTTATTAAAAACAAGGGGGTTCAAAAAGTCATTTATAATTTAGATTATGGCTAACAGAACAAATAATTAAAAAATATGGCATAGCAAAATGCTAATCAGGACATTCATCACTGACATCTTCACCATGACATTTTGTAAGTAGACAATTTTATTGAAATTATACCACTCACAGGGAAAAAAAAGAAAAGACCACGCGGCAGTGTAAAGTGTGCTATTCAAAAAAAGACATTATTGCAAAAAGAATTTGGAAAGAGATTCAATACTACTGCCCAGATTGTAACATTATACTGTGTATTAAATGTTTTAAGATATATCACATACAGAAAAATTATTAAATAGATCGATACATTGTTTTTTATATTTTCTGTTAACTTATAAAAATTAATGAAAAAATATGGAACTTTTGGTTACTCTATATTTAAATAATTGGACTGGTAAGTGGTTAAGATGTGAGACACAGGGCCATATCTTGGTGTCTCCAGAGCACCCCCTCAAAAATGCCTTCCAAAGTGCAGATGATAAGTAAGTCAGTGCAGCGGCACATGTCTTTATCTCCAGCTATTCCCAGAGGCTAGGGAAGGAAGATCACAAGTTTGAGACTAGCCTAGGCAACTTAGCAAGATCCTGTCTCAAAATAAAAAACAAGGGCTAAGAAAATAATTTAGTGGCTGAACACCCCTAGGTTTGACCCCTCTCCCCCATGGACAAACATGAGCTTTGAAGGGACAACAGGGTAGGTATAAAGAACACAGATTTTGAGCACATACCCTTAAGTTGTACTAATACCCAATCCAATGTATATAAATTATGTAACAAGTAGAAGGAATAGGTATAGTCACCTGAAATTACAAAAATAGCATAGTACCTGTAGGAGACTTTCTATGGCATGAAAGCCTCGAATTAAATTTAGAGCTCCACATAGAAGACTAAGGATAAATGCCACAATCCCTGATAGAGTGGCTGGTTCCAGTCGCTGGTGAGCTGGAAAATAAAAGAAGTGGTTAGAAATGAATACCAGTATGTCATGGAGTTGAACTTCTGTTAAATAGAAATTCCCTACTCCATTTAAATGGGTCAAACATAAATAATTTTACACAATATACCTTAGTAATTAAATATTCTTTCAAAATGCAAAATGTTGACAACATAAAAGCCCCATTTTCTTAAACTCAAATCAAATTAACTTCTTTTTCTTTATATTTTTAACAGAAACCTAATTTGCATTTGTGATATATAGTGCTAATGTGCTCCAATCTGGCAGTAAATGGTTTAGAAAAAAACCTTACTGCCTAAAAAATGTCTACTATTTGCAAATAAGTGCAGCTATTTCCAAAGGTGACTTTGCTTGGAAATTCATTGCATAATTTCTGCGTTCCCTGAAAATGTTTAGAAAACATTTCTAAGAACATAGTTTGCTTTTAAGCAAAGCTCCCCTTTATTTGGGTCCCAGAGCTATAAATACTACTTGATATATGTGAAAGTTCACATGTTATAACCTGTCTGAACTCTCCAACAGAATGTAATCTTAGAGAGGAAGTTCCTGGTCTGGTGAACACTACTGGAAGGCAAAAATGAAAAAATACTAGCTGAAGAAGTGACCATTTTATCTTTACAAATACATCCCCTCATCTTTCAAGGCTTCAGCAGCAAATTAATTAAACAATAGCTTCCCTTCATCATTATTTTGCACTTAATAGAATTAACAATGACGTCCAAATGAAAACAAAAAACTAAATATATAATCATTAGACCTCAAAATGGTGACAGAAACAAAAAGAGGACAACAGAGCCACATTGTATTTTATTTAAATCACTGAAGTGTAAAGGCCCAACAATGAAGTTAATGAGGTGGAAAAATAATGTAAGAACCGACTTAAATCTTTGCAAATTACATTCAGCCGATACACAGAAAAGCTTCCCTAAACAGTTGATAAAAACACAAAAACCCACATTAAAAAAAAAGTATTTATTCCTCAGATGCAGCAGAAAATAGTAAGTAATATGAAATAATGTTCTCTTAAATGTCACTTGTGCCCTTGTCTGTTCTCTCAATTTCCTTGAGGTTTTAATATAAAAATAGACCAAGTGTCTGTACCTTATTGATGCCAAATCTTTTATCAGTAGAGAAAAAAACCTCACAATTTCAAAATCTACCCAATCAGACTACAATCAGTCAGATTCCTCCATTTTCCTGCCTCCCTCTTCACTTCTCTCAGAAGTGAGCAAGGGAGAACTGGTCAACCCCACAAACACACGCACAAAAAAATCCTCCAGATAGGCCTCAAGAATAAAGCCAACTACAACTGAACAGATTATGTAAATCACATCTTTAAAGTATATGAAACAAATTTAACTTAAAAAAACACATGTAATATTCTGCACTGTAAGTAAAAATCCTTAGTGTATACACTCATGTATGGCCATTCTTTAACAGAAAGATTTACCATTTTCATGTGTTAATGAAGATCAAATGAATATTAAATCTATATAAATTTAATATTGAAATTTCTGTAACAGTCCTTTTGGCCTTAGAGTACTCTCTTTATAATAATGATATAAGCTATTTATGGATTAATTACTTCAAACTGACCAGGCCTATTTTTAAAGGCATAAAAGCAAATGATAAACCTTCTCTAACAAGGACAAGGTACATGCTGTGCTCAAGGGCAGGATGGCACTGTGCCAAATCACTGTGGCAAAGAAATTCTAAAGTGGCAATTTCCCTATTTATGCCCTGCTTGCTTCCCAGGACCCGTAGCTTGCATTTTGAGAATGCTTATCAAGAAAACTTTATCTGCACACAAGAAGGTGATACTCTTTGAAGGACAATTTTCCATTTTAACAACTGAACTAGACTCCTAACCACATTTTAATACATTATGCTACAAATGCTATTTTCTTTTGCTTCAGTAAAACAGATTTTTAGATCCAGTGCTATCCGAAATGCTTGCTGGTGTTTCGGCACAATGCTAGGCACCACCATGTGGAGAATGTATGTGGAAAGTAAATAAAAGGCAATGTAAGGGAAAAACAGTATTCTTGCCAAATCCAAAACTGTGCCACTTGGACAATTTTTGTTTTGCTTTTATTTTTTTTTGTGGGTACCAGGAATTGAACTCAGGACCTCACGCTTGCCAGACAGGCACTACACTGCTGAGCTATATAGCCCCAGCCCTTGTTTTGCTTTTGTTTTTGGTATTATTTTCTGCTACAATACTGCATCTTTTTTTTAATTAGCATCTTTGAACCCAGAAGCATTTTCATACCAAAATTAAAAATTTCTCAAGATATACCAATGGTTTATAGAGTTTACAAAAGTTCTTAAAGGTGCAAGACCAAACGCCTTGGAGAGAGGGCTACTGGTTAGAGTAACTTAAGGAATGCTGAAAAGGAAAGATTTAAATACCACACAGGCAATAACAAGAACAAGGGAATGTCTTTGAAGATGAATAAAATGTGTCAGGCACAAAGGACAAGAATTATACTCTGTATTGTAATACAGAGTAAAGAACAAGAGTGCAGAGATGGAAACAGGAAAAACAAATGACAGCAACAACTTCTACTTTACAACTAATAGTGGTTGCTCACCATGTGCTGAGCACCGAGTGCTTTATATACATAATCTCATTTCATCCTTCCAACAACCCAAACAACCAGGCCATATCTCACACTCTCAACCACCTCCTCCACCAGGCAGCCACGCTCAAGACAATGATTTCCCTGCCCAATATCACCCCATGACCAGCATCACTTGCCCCACAGTCACTGAAGTTCTGAAAGCCCCATGCCTCAAAGCCACTTAAATTATTCAAACCAGCTGATCTCAGGCCTCCTCATCCTATCTCATCTATTCCTCCCCTCAGGAGCCACACTAAAGATTCTGCCCACGTTCTCCCCTTTCCTTCCCTAGGCCTCTGTGAGTATAAAAAAATTGTCTTTTCTATGGCAGCCATCTCTTGATCTGTTGACCCACCACACCTGAATAAGAATGAAATATATATTTAAAAACCACATTTGTATAACAGAGATTATAAATTTCCCTTAAAAAAGGAAGAATTATATAAATAAATCAGCATGTTGATGGTGGAGATGTACAGATGAAGAGTGGCAAAATGCTGTTGTATAATGGGTACACGAGAGTTACTTATACTACTCTGTGTACCTTGTATACATTTGAGATTCTCCATAATAAAACATTTAAAAAACGAAAAGCAGAAGCAGGACATGGTACTTCATGTAATATATTATTGACTTCATGTGATCTTCCATAGATTGTGTAAATAATAAGTGTGCCATGATATAAATATTCATGCCAGACCGGGGAGGGAGACTGCCAAAAAATTAGAAAGAAGAAAGTTAAATACAAAAAAATTAAAAGATGCTATACTACATTAATCATAAGGAACAAAGAAGCTTGAAAAGCAATGGTCATCAATACCTATTAAACTTATTTTATTGTATTATTTTTGGTTTCAGACAGCGTCTTGCTATGTAGTTCAGGCTGACCCTGAACTCCCTAGGTAGCCTAGACAAGCCTCAAACTTGCAGCCATCCTCCTACCTGAGTCCCCTAAGTGCTGGGATTACAAGCACGTGCCACCAACTTATTTTAAAATAAAGCAAATAATGCACTTAGACGTTTCCTCTCAAAACTGTATTTTACTTGGAAACTATAGAAAATATTATGCATGCTTGGTCTGAATTGAAAGCAAATTTAAAGTTAATATTTAAATCAGTTCTAGTTGTCAATTATTTTTTACTCTTTCTTAAAACTATAACATATCCTCTTTATGAAAAGCTATTACTGGCTCCTCCTGGTGGGAAACTTTGTTGGCTATGTTCATAACTATCCTGTCGATTTTACTATTTGGCCCATGCACATTTAATTGTTTCTGTGGCCTTGTCTCTTCTAGACTTAAAGCTGTATGTTTACTCAAGACAAGAACACCTGGCACCTACTGACAGCCTTTAGATAGACCCTCTGTGGAGCATCTCTGACTGCCAATCACAACTACAACCCTTTTCTGCTGGAAGTAGTCAGATTAGTCTTTGGCTCTTGCTCCCTCACGGCATTTAGGGGTACTTCTTCAGAGGGCAGAATATTATAGAAAGCAAAGCTGGGTAGAAATATTGTAGGCAGGGCTGGAGATGTAGCTCAGTGGTAGAGTGCTTGCCTAGTGTGCACAAGGCCTTGAGTTCAATCCCCAGTACCAGAAAAAAAAAGAAAAAAGAAAAGAAATCTTGTAGGCAGTCAGACAGTGCTAGGCTCTTGAGAGGTCAATGCAGAAGGCAACTGTAGCTGGAGGCTTATTCACTGAAGGCCAGACTTCAAGAAAAAGAACTACTCACCCATTTACTTCCCCTAGGGATGAAAAGCAGTGATTGATACTCTAAGTAGGCATCAATCACCTTGGGGTGGAAGACCAAACCTCCTTAACCCACTCCTTCTAGGAAAGTCCTTATCTGTCCATGGGTGCTTACTCTGTGACTTGTTTCCCCATTTGATCTCTATTTAATCAGTGTTACTCTAGAGACTATACTTGTTGTATACTTATTGGTTGACCATAGTTTTGTCCCACCGATGATTTTCCATTGAATCAATATTACCAAAGCAACTATACTTGTAATCTTATTGATTGGTTATAGTTCTGGTTAGAACTATAACCTGAAGCCCACCTCACCTAGTGGCCTTGCTCAATAAAACACCTTTGAGAAGCGGGGTTGGTGGGCAAACCACTTTCCAGGCCCACTTCTGTCCCTCTCAGACAGAAGCTTTCTTTCTCTCAATAAATTCTTTTTACTCTTTATTTTGGGGAGGGCGGGGTGCTGGGAATAGAACTCAGGACCTTGTGCTTGCCAGGCAGGCGCTTGTGCTGAGGAGCTATATTCCCAGCCCTCTACTCTTAAAAACAAAACAAAACAAAAAAAAAACTACTCGAGAAGCTGAGGAAGGAGGATCATTGGGGGTTCAAGACTAACCTGGGCTACAAAGTGAGTTTGAGGCCATCCTGAAAAGCATAGTGAGACCCTGTTTCAAAAAGACAAAAAGCAAAACAAAACAAAAAACCTGTAACAATATTTTTCAAAAAACCTATAACCATATTCTCCCCATTTTCCAAGTCTCTAATATTTGATGATCTAAAATATCATGGTGATCTAAGTTCAGAGAGGAAACTTATAGAAGTCGACTGATACACAGAATTTTTAGCTGGGCATGGTAGGCAGGAGGATTGTTGTGAGATCGAGGCCAGCCTGGGCTACAAAGTGAGTTCAAGACCAGCCTGAACTGCATAGTGAGACCCTGTCTCAAAAAGACCAAGAAAAAAATATTTAAAGATTTTTTTAAAAAAAAGTCCACCTCATGGTAAGTCAAGTTGGACCTTTGCCTCAAATAACGTTATACTTCTGAATCCTGAGCATATTTATTAATGGACAGATATCCTTATCAACACTGGCTGCCAAATTATCTACTAAAGGGCAGGACAATAGAAGTCTTGGAGCTACTTCAACCAAAACACAAACAAAATAATAAACCCCAAGATGACTGCAGAGGTCAAGGCCACCAAGGCTTTCAAACTGATAGGTGGTAATGTCTATTGCATTCTCAATTAACTCTCCAGCTTAAATCTCCAAAATAGTTGTGTCTTGGAGGATGATAGGTTACTAAAGGTTCCAACTGTACATGCTTTTCTAGATGTAGTTTCCTTACAATGTAAGTCAATTCATTTCCTGACTTTATTATGGTAAACTTTTTTCTCTATCCTAAGAAACAGTGGAAATAAAAACATTTTGTTTTTATGTGACAGATATTAGAACATTTACCATATTGTGCAAAGGTTATAGTCTATAGCAGACGTTGGCAAACAATGGCTCAAAAGGCAAATGCAGTCCACCTATTCTTTTTTAACTGTCTGCAGCTATTTTTCTGCACTACATATTCACTATCAGTCCTTTAAAAAAAAAGTTTATTGACCCTTGGCCATAAAGATCTAAATTCTTAGTACCCCACTGAACATTTTTGGCAACGTCATGCTGACAGTACCTGAAGATTATATAGTAGTATGTGCCTTAGGTTATATGTTTTGAGAAAATACATGCATGCTACATGATGGGAAATAATCACAAACTTACAGGAGTCTATATTCTCAATTTCTGATGGTCAAAGACCTAGAATGTGTTGAAAGTTAAGGGCTAAGTTGACGTACCCTGTAGCCTATACCACTACGAAAAGATGCACTGATTAATAAGCCTTTCTAGATTTCCAATGTAACATTCTATGCATGTAATGAACAACAATGGTTGAGAATGGCTCAGAGAAACAGAAGGATCCAGACTGCATTAGAGGATACCTTGCTCATTAGCCCATAGGACTCACAGATCCAACGGCTCTTCTTTTAGCCCTGCTAGTGGATATGAATGATGTACTGCATCCTTATAATTTTGCTTTGTATTTCTCTAATGATTATTGATATTGAGCATCTTTTTATATGATAATTATGTCACTGTACATTTTCTGTGTTGAAATGCCTGTTTAAATCCTTTCCCTGTTTATAAACTGAACATTTTTTATTGTTCAGTTGTAAGATGCTTATCTATTTTAGATTCTAGTCCCTTACCAGATACATGTTTTGTGTTTTTTTCCATTCTGTGTTTTCATTTTCTTGATTCTGATGCTTGAAGTGTAAGTTTTCACTTTTGATAAAGTCTATTTTATTTTTTTCTTCTTCCACTAAAAATCTAAAAAATTAACAAAGTCACAAAGATTTAGACCTACGTTTTTTCTAAGAGTTTTATGTTTCTACTTGCTGTATTTAGGACTTTGTTCCATTTTGAGTTAATTTTTATATATATTGTTGGGGGGGGGGTCCAACATCAATTCTTTTGCATGTGGATATCCAGTTATCCCAATACCATTTGTTCAAAAGACTATTCTTTCACTACTGTCCTTACATCAGTACCCAAAATGAATTAACCATAATGAAAAGGTTTACTTCTATACTCAAGCCTGTCCCACTGATCTATATACATGTCTACCCTTAAATCAGAATTACAGGCTTAATTACTGTAGGTTGTTAGTAAGTTTCCAAGTGTGAGTCCTTCAACTTTGTTCTTTTTCAAGATTATTTTGGTTATTTTCTATCTCTTGAATTTCCATACCAATTTTAGGATCAGCCTGTCAATTTCTATAAAACATAGGTGGGATTATGTTGAATGTGTGTATATCAATTTGAGAACATCTATCTTAGTAATAATGTCTTCTAACTCAGGAAAATGAAACTACCTTCCATTAAGTTCTTTCACTGATGTTTTATAGTTTTCATTGTATGGGATTTTCTTAAACTCATTTTCAGATTGTTCACTGCTAATATATAGAATATAGCTGATTTTTTTGGTATATTGATCTTGTGTCCTGCAATCTTGCTAACTCAGTTATTCTGTCTTTTTAAAACAGATTCCTCTGAATTTTATTTGAGATTATATAATATGTAAATATAATTATTCATTTCTTCCTTTGGATGTAGGTTACCTTTTTATCTCTTATCCTTATTCACTTGTTTAGTTACTGTCTAGATTATTTTAGTGAAATCTGTTTTCTTTTCTCTCACATTTGTATTAATCAAACCAAATGTGAAGTGTTATGGTCACTCCACTTAAGAGTTACAAATTAACAATATATACACAAAGCTTCTAGGATGGGAAAGACTTCAACCAATTGACAAAAAGTTTAAGGGAAGTGGAGATATTTAAATAAAGTAGATTAGACCAGTAGGCATTATAGGGAAGCAAACTTTAGCTTAATACTTAAAGAAGAACTTTAACAAGTAGTTTAACAGTGCTACTTTATAAAACAATGAGGTTTCCTTTTCTGGAAAGATGGGAAGTACAGTACTGAGGACTGAACCTAGGGGCACTCTACCACTGAGCTATATCCCCAACCTTCTTTATTTTGAGAGTCTCACTAAGTTGCTCACTGGCCTCTAATTGGAGCTCCTCCTGCCTCAATCTTATAAGTGGCTGGGATTACAGGTATATACCACCATGCCTGGGCGAGGTTTCCATAAGCAGAAGTTTCATCCTGTCATGACTGTTGAGGATGGTGTTCTCCTTTGGAAGGGGAGATTTGAGTAGACCATCACTAAGGTTTTTACATTTTCTATGACAGTCGAGCATCTGGGGCTTGAATGCAGCCATTCTGACATAATGAAAAGAAAGTACTTTACAAGCCTACAAATATATACTACAAAGAAACTATTTTTCATTTCTAGATAAATGTTTACAAAAACACCATAAATCTTTTATTAGCAAAGAGAACTTCTGAGATTACCATTTGAAGTATTTTCCTGATTAGTCACATATCTAGTAGCTTAGTTTATAAACAACTGGCAGAAAGGATTGCATGTTCTTGATCTAAGATATCAATTAAAACTTAATTTCAAGAGTTCCTCAGCTCTTACAAAAATAAAAAATTACCGAAGTAACTGAGATCCAAAACTCACCGGAGGAAATCTTACCAGCACCTTTATAATCAACAGAAAATGCAGATGTTACTCCATTGGCTGGCCCCAGTTCACACATGGGAATTTGGTAAGGGGGCCTCAGCTTGATTTCCATCTGCATGTCAGACAGATTTATCTTTGTTGAAAGAGACCTGGGATTATTATATCGTTGCTTGGTCCTCTGAATGAAGTTATCTATGTGAAATAAAAAATAAGGTTTCTGCAGTCATTTGTTAATTAAATCATTTGAGAGTGTGATGTTTATGGACAGTAAATTTTATAGATAGTTTAATTTGTTATTAAAAATTATTCATTTTCCATGGAATTTCTAATATTCTTTATGTTTATACGTAATCATGGAGTCATGTTTTATAGTCTACACTGTAGAAATTAGTAAATGTAACTGAATTAAGAGTTTAACACTACCTGAGTGTATTATATCCACTTCAAGGAATTACAGAAACAAGAAACAGCTTAACTTTAAAAAAAAAGTCTTAATTATTATAGGAATTCTTGTGTCATAAAAGATTAAACCTCTTAGACTTACTAGTTGTAATTACATAAGACCTTATGCAATCAGCTATATGTTTTTCTAAATCTGTTTTCTAATCTGCTTACACCATTAGGATGTGTTTTAAAGGATAAATTTAACAAAAACAATAAATGATACTTCCTAAATATCTTCCAAGTGGAATTTTATTTTACTATTTACAACTACAGAATTTTTGTTTTTAATTTTTTTTACCCTTCTACATCAAGAGTTAAGCAAACTACAGGCCACAGGCCAAACCTAGCCCATTGTTTTTATAAATAAAGTTTTAAGCCATAACCATGCTCATTCATTTATGTATTGGCTGTTTTCAAGCTACAATGACAGAATTGGGTAGTTGTGGCAAACTATATGGCCCTTAAAGCCTAAAATAGGTTTTGTCTGGTCCTTTCCAGCAAGTATTTGCCAACTACTGTTCTACATTAAGCAAGCCATAAGAGATTATCACACAAACACAAAACTCTGAATCTCTGCCTTATAAATTTCTCGTTGAGAAGATGTCCTCTAAGACTAATTATTTGGGCCAATAACCACAAATCCCTTCATAGCTCAAATAGTTTTTTTCTAACAGTCATCTAAATTAAGAAGCTGGTATAACTTAAAGATCATTTTCCAATTTATCCTATATAAAGCAAAGCAGCAGAAGTTTCTTCCTGTCCCCCAATATTAGATGAAAAATTGCTTATGAACAGATAGAGACAAGATAATAAAAAGAAAAAAAAATCAGGCCCTTACCAAATTCAATGAAACAGTACGGTCTGACAGCAGTATTTGTCTTCATCATGTTATAAGTAGTAATAAACTCCTTCTGAAGCTCATCCAGGAAAGAGAAGGCGAGAACATTTGGGTAATTTTCAGTGCACAACATCATGTAGCTCACTCCCAGAGAACTAATAAAACTACAGTGTAAAAAACATTGGTTTTAAAATTTCAAATTAAATCAAGGTAATTCGTCGCTTCACAAGACTGGTTCTGTACACTATAAACTGCTGCTACACTGGCAATAAAGATGCTAACATTTATTATATATTCCAGTAAAAAATTTGAAAGAACCAAAATAGAATACCATTTTAAGTTATAGTTTAAAAACAGCAGACAAAAATAATGGAATGTACAATGGAAGGGGATACACTATGGTGCTACCATTTCACTTGCGGATGAAAGTAGGAGGAATAATATACAAACGTACAAACATTATAGCTAGCTTAAAGTCTAACTCTTCATGAAAGGTAATGGAAATTAATATGCCTGAGTCAAAAACCATTTAGAATCTGATCAAGGTTATGGACACTACTCCCAGAAAGATCTCCAAGTAGCACAAAACTTTTCAGAGCGGTCACTGACCCCAGTAATAAATATAAACCACTGACAGAAAAAGCAGGAATTTAACAACAAATAAAATAAAAGGGAGAACTCCTGCTTACAGCAGAATACTCAACATTAACTAGTGAATAAGGAGGTAGTACTAGCACTGGAAAAAATCACCATTTTACAACCAACACAGTAAAAAGTAGATCAAGCAAGTATAATTGTGAATGTTGCATCTAGGGGGAATTTTGATGACATCAGTATATATGCATGGTTTTAAAATCCCTTACAATGAATTATCAGGTTGCAAGAGGAAAACATTACATAGTAGAAACTAGACAACACATTGACCAAGTATGCTAGTGCCACTACCTTGGGGAGGGAGACATGCACTGCCTCCAGATGTGATACTCTAAGAAAGACATACCGCCTATGTGGTATTTTGGCTTAGAATACATAGCCTCAATCTAATCATAAAGAAACATCATGGCAAACGTTCTATTTTTTAAAAATGAAGGAAGCATATTCATTGAAAATCTTAATATTGTAAAAAAAATTGAACAAAAATCATAGAAAGGTTTCCAAAGGAATCTAAAGAGCTATAAGAAGTAAATGTAAAACCTAACCCTAGTCTGGGTCCTATGCTAAAGGTAGTAGTGAAATACTACCAAGGATATTTCTGGAGCCAACTGACAAAATGGAAAACAGGTAATAGATTAAATTAGGTTACTTGTAATATATTCACCATAGCTGATTGCTGTATGTAGTTAAGAAAAGATTATCCCTTATCTTAGAACATATACTCTGAAATAGCTAAAAAGGAAGAAGTGTGGTACTTTTAAGTTTTTCTCAAATGGTTCAGAAAAAACAAATCAGATGTATAAACAGGATAAGAGATGAAATTTTTAAAAGATGAATCTGGGTATTATTTGTATTTTTCTTATTCACACAACTTTTTTGTTAGACTGAAATTATTTCTAAGTAGGAAGTTTAAAATATGTTAAGCACTGAAACATTAGTCGTGCTCTACCGAAAAATATTTTCTAGAATATAGTGTATTACCATTCCTTCATAATAAACAAACAGAGCTGGGTATGGTGGCACATGCCTATAATTCCAGCACTCAGAAGGCTTAGGCATGAGGAACACCATGAGTTCCAGGCCAGCCTGAACTACACAGTGAGACCCTGTCTCAAAACAAAAACAAAAACAAAAACAAAAACAGAGCCAGGAAAAAAATGTTCAATATCACTAGTCATTCAAGAGAAGCAAATTAAAACAACCTCACCCCAGAAAGGTAGTGAGACACTACCTCACCCCAGAAAGAATGGCTATTATCAAGAAATCAATAACCAATGCTAACAGGGCTGTGGGGAAAAAGGAAAACTTCTCCACTGTTGTGGGAGTGTAGACTGGTGCAACCACTGTGGAAATCTGTGTGGAGATTCCTCAGAAAACTAGGACTACAAGTTTCATTCGACCCAGCTATTCCCCTCCTTAGTATCTTCCTGAAAGAATTAAAAGCATCATACCACAGTGACATATGAACAACCTATGTTTATAGCAGCACAGTTTGCAATAGCTAAATCTTGTAAATAGCCCAAATGCCCATCAATTAGCGAATGGATAAAGAAGATGTGGTTTTTTAATACAATGGAGTACTACTCTGCCACAAAGAAGGATAAATTCAAGACATTTCTAGGTAAATGGATGCAGCTTGGGACCATACTCTTCAGTGAAATAAATCACACACACGTGTAAATACTGCATTGTTTCTCTGGTGTAAGAAACTAAATGTGTAAATAAGGACCAAAACGTGTAATAGGTATTATAAGAAAGAAATGAGAATAAGAAACAAAAGCGAAACAAGAGCATGGAACACAAGTTAATCCTTTTAATGAAGATCTTTTATAACACTGTCAACATAGCTGGTCTGGATCAGGGAGGTAAACATAGCATATGGGCTGTCACTCTCCACTCCTGTGGCATGCACTGTCACTCATGGCAGTTGTCTTCACTACTAAACCTGGATCCACACTGAAACACCCCCCACATTTTTCTCCTCTAATAATGCAGATGTGGAATTTATTATTTTTAAGTTTAATTACTGGAATAAACATGTTTCCATGATTCAAATTTTAAAAGAATGAAAATGAAAAGGATATTGTACTTAAAATATCTTACCCCTTCTCTGCCCACAGATACCCAGATCTCTATCCCACAGGAAATCCATGTTTTTATTCATTTCCTCTGTATCTTTCTGGTGAAAGATTACAGGTATGCGCGTAAGTAACTCTGTGTGTGTGTGTGTGTGCGCGCGTGCGTGCGCCCTTTATAAGACCATCCCAGGCAGTCAAATCATATCAGGTGAACACCTATTAATTATCTATTATTAATGGTGTGGGATACACTAGTGGTGAAGTTGTGCTGATCTTATGTTCCTAGAATAACCTGAAATTCTTTCCTGAAATTCCACTTAATACATAGTCATTTTTGCAGTATTTTTCAAAGTGCAAGTTATGACCTATTAGTAGGTCATAAAATTAGTGAGTTAAGGCATTTTCTAATAAATGAAATAGAATTTAACAGAAAATACTGGAATGGTATACTGTTTTAAGAAACTTTAACTTCTCTATGAGGGGGAAAGAAGGCACACAAACTGTATAGTGCTGCTCACAAACTATATGTCTTTTTAAGGATCATAATCAAAAAAGTTTAGCCATAGCATAGTGAATTCTTCTATAAATTAATATTTAAATCAAAAGCCAAAATATGCTTTCTGAAGTGATTTTCTCTTCCTCCAAAGACTTCACTACCATTATCAAAATTCTCTTATATGTCATTAGTATTCAAACACATCTCCCAAATAACTGGAACACAATTGGCCTCCACAAATTCAAAACTCCCCGTCAGTTCAGTAGGAATTATTTCATTACCTTCCCATAACATGACTAAAAATTTTGGACCTCATTTTCTGTTACATCAGGATTTTACTGTATTTCTATATTAATAACAGTGAGCCACAGTTTACTGCAAATGATTTATCTTTCTTATGTAAAATTGACAGAATTGTATGCACAATAAAGGAAACCCTACTTAAAAAAAAGATCATACACTAGCACTTTCAGAAAGTCTTTATTTTACCATAACTGCATGACACTTTCTGCAAAGGCTATAAAATGTTCTACATTACAGACATTCCTTGTTTAATCACCTGTTTAAAAACTGTTCAGACTTAAGGACTCACCACTTGGACTTAAGACTCATCTTTTTTTATATGCAGTTCAGTGTATCTGTGTTTTTGGGTTTTTTTGTTTGTTTTGTTTTGTTTTTTACTGCTGGGGATTGAACGCAGGGCCTTGTGCATGCAAGGTAAGAGCTCTACCACTGAGCCACATCCCCAGCCCTGCATATCTTCTTTATAGGGCCTCGATGTCTTTTTTTGTATAGTACACCTTGTTAATACAATACTGTAATTTTTGCTGATTGTACTGTATACTACAATACTGTAGTTTATGTTACACTATACATTACAGTACTGCATGTAAGGGTTAGGCAAATAAAAGCAAAGTTACCACACTGGCGTTTCCTTTGACCATTTCTTTGTTTTGAATATTGTAATGTACACATTATATATAATTCCTCATTTAGTGACCAGTTCATTTAACAAGGACCTCAGTCTTTAAACTAGGAATGTTTGGATTACAGCTAAAATTTAGCATGGAGTAAATTTAGTACATTTAGCCTCTTTTCTTTGAAATATAAAAAGTTTTCTGGGGCTGGGGATTTAGCTCAGCGACACAGCGCCTGCCTGGCAAGTGCAGGGTCATGAGTTCAATTCCCAGTACAGGAAAAAAAAAATTTTCCGAAAATATCAATTAGCTCAGTTGGTTCATGTCTGTAATAAGAAAAAATAATCTGCTTTTTCAAACCATCACTGGGATAGACAGAAAGATTTCTACCACCTCACTGAAGACTACTGTACTTGGAATAGTCTGAAGTCACTACAGGCATGCCAGTTTGTGCATACTTTAGAAGTGTCCAACAGGTTTGTTAAGCTCATATTTTATAGATAATATGGCAGTTGTCCCTCTGTTTATTGACTACTATGATTAGCCAGACCCTCTACTTAATTTCATTTCTACAATAAGAGATTCTATTATCTCCATCCTAAATATGAAGGAATAGAGGCTCAAGAGGCTTAGTAACTTATCCAAGGCCATATATCATTAAGAACCACAGCTGGAATAAAGTTAGTGCTGACTCCAGAGCCCATAGTCTCCAGAGTCTCTCTACAACACAACACCAAGATCCATACGGTATAGATAAAACCAGCCATGTCCTAGATCCACCAACAGTTTTTCACATTTCCAAGCCACAAATCAATCTCTATCTTTCCGTACATTAAGAGCAATGCAACTTAAGTATTTTAGAACTTGTATCATTTGTACATCTGTAAAGCCCAGAAGCTCTGCCAAGTTTCCCACTTCATCTTATGCAACTCTACTCCTCTCTGTCTGTATTCCAACCACATGAGCCTTGTTTCAGTTCTTCATGGAAGCCAATCACCCCCAGCCTACCCCAGCCACTC